TAAGCTGTGATGCTCAAATTACGCGAAACATCTTCCTTGATTAGTTCGGGCCACGAAACAGCTTAACCATAGGAAGTATTGAACCTTCAGCAAATAATTGTAGTCTTAAGATCATAAAAGTCACGCGGAAAATATCTCAATCTTGTCATCTTCAGTTCTTGTTGCCCCTCGTGATAAATTCCGTGCGACGCTTCAACAATTTATCAACAAAGAAGCAACAATGCTCAGTTATCGTGAAAAAACAAACATGTAGTAAAAAATAACGAATCTTTTCCCTCAATCAAAATATTAAAATAAAATAAAACGAAAAGGTAATTTGATTCTCCAATATGCCCAAAATAACAAAATTTGTGATTATTAAGACATAAACATGGTAAAAGGACAAGCAAAAAATAAAAGAGTTTCTACAGAAAACTTGAGCAAATTTTGTACTTGAACAACCATGCAACTTGCAAGAATCCGGCATAGTAATTTATTTTGTTGTGAACCTTTAGCAAGTTTTACATCACTGACAAACAGTAAAGATTTCACATATCAGGAGAAAGTATTACATATTTCTCTTTCAGTTCTATGGATTTCTCATTTCTCTTGTTACAACTTGCCAACAGAGCTGCGCCCGTCGAATACACTGAAAGTGATACCACATTGGTGTCTGAAACATTTCCCGCAGGACCTAAACAGATGTAAAGGAACACAATGATTAGAATTCAGAATCATAGGTTAATAATTAATTTCTTAACACTTAACAGAGTAATAGTGTGCTACACACATGCTGTAGCAAGAAACAAGCTGGAGGAGATGAATGAACTCAAGATTGGACAAGAAAATTGACAATGAGATACAAAATGAAACTCACTATGATCAAAAGGAATGGTCTGAAGAATTTAACCAGGAATGTCACAAAATGGCCGAAATCCATCTATACATAAAGGAAAGAATAACATCTTACAGCTGCCCATGAAACAATAAAAAACAAAAACATTGTCACAATATTCTGACTAATCAACAGATTCAGATATTGATTTCAGTTGAACAATCCCATTCGTATTTAAGTTCCCTGATTTTTCTTGCTAGGAACATTGTTGCCTACGACCTACGAAGCACTTGTATGGGTACGGGTATTAGTAATGGTACAATATGGGTACGTCAATACAATAAAATCTAAAAAAATGTAAGGTATGGGTACAACTGGGTACGTTCGCAATATATATATATATATATATGTATATTTATTTTTAAATTGGAGTAATGCAAAAATTAGTAAATGGTTTAGTTGGTTAAGATCCAACCTACAATTCACATTCAATGTCAAAAATAAGATATAAACTAAAATTAAATGCCATTATATTAAATAACTTACAAACCAAAGTTTAATTTTAAAATCATACTAAGTATTAAAAATAAAATAAAATAATAAATAAATAAGTCCAATGAAACTAACTTCACCTCTTTATAGAAAAAAATACAATTCCGACTGAGGTACGGCTTGGGTACACCTTGGATATATACTAGGTACCTCTATGGTACGGCAAAATTTAAGAAAAAATTTGAGTACGTGTTTCGTACGAAAAGCTCCTCATGGTGAGGAATTGGCCTCAATTCTTGGACGTAGGATAAGTGCTCTCCTTTTTTCACGAAAACTTCACACATTGTAGGCCCTACAAATTGAGAAAGGTTTAATAAAGTTATACGCAGATGATAAGGTTTATAGGGTATCCTTAGGTGCCTCTTAATTCTTGTTTCTCCCAAAGCTTTCACGACCATGAAATGTATGACCTCTTTTGCAATTATTTTCGTGCATTATTTCCATAACTCATTGACAATCTTGTGTTGGCAGTTGTACAAATCAAACAAATGCAAAAAACAGAGGCAGTTGTATATAAACTTTTTGGCATAAATTCCAACTAAGAATGGAAAAGAAATGGCAAAACACAAACTCTGCAACCTCAAATCTAAAATTTCTGCACCCTAGAGTTTGATCTCAAATATCATAAACTAAACAAATAAATAAACAAAAGGAAAAAACAAAACTTCTTTCAAGTTGTTCCAATATGGGTCAAAAAAGATTAGTGCATTGCGTGGCAGATGACATCCTAGAAACTGAAATGCATAAAAAGTCATGACAGAGTTAACCTGGGTACTGTAGAAAAAATTTAATGGACATCAATGCAGGAACAATCGAAGAGAGAAAACAAACAAGCATCAAACACAAAAGGAAGTGAATTATAAAGTACCTGAAGTGAGATATTGAAAGCTAAAAGTCAGAGTCTGCCAGTATTACAAGAAATGTGTCCTCTGTCGACATAATTTACTCATCCCACATCAATTTTCTCTGAAAAGTAACAGAAGGTCCTTTCGTCATGCCACTAGGGAGTGACTGACATGTGGGCATTGTACTAGGGAGTCATGCCACTAGGGATGGCTGTAGTTCTCCTTGATTTCAGGAATCCTGTAAAAGCAATGCATCACATGGGAACATTTTGGTCACCGACATCCTGTGTACAAACCTAGTCTCCACTTGATTGCAAGATTTCATTTGGAGAGTCTCAAGAATGTCTCGCAGCTGGAATGACAACATTTACAACTTAAAAGTATGGGGCCACTCCCGAGAGTCAGATATCTAGGTTCCATATCTGGTTGCAAGATTCAACTGAAAAAGCTCTTCAAAACCAATGCTGTAGCGAATCCACAAAATCTATAAACTTCTAGCCAATTTGACATTTTTTTTCCCTTCAAACTCCTCTAGATTTGGACATTTCCAAACGCTTACAATTACCTGAGATGGCAACACACACCCAATGCTCTTCAATTCTGGCAATTCCCACAGACACAATGTGTCTAACTTTGGCAATTTGGGCTTTGGTGATGCTTCTTCAAACACAGCCTTCAATTTATCACAAAACTTAATTTGAAGAACCTGAAGGCTTTTTGGCAGCTGGTAAGAAGAGAAAACAAATGACAGTTTTGGACAACAATCCAGATACAGACACTTAAGGTTTTGAAAGGTGTGACTTTGCCAGTTCTCAGGGTATATACACTTCAAATTGAGAGAATTGGAAACCCATAAGACCTCCAAACTTTCCACTTTAGCTACCTCTTCTATCTCCTCTGCATGAAAGACACTCTCCATTTCTTTGCATCTCTCTATCCAACAGCCTTTCAGTACCTTGAAGTTGGAAGCACCTAAATCAGATAACCAGCTTTCAAATGCATTGTCGATCAAAAATACAAATTCAGCAAGACTGAGAACCTCCTTAATACCCTTGGGGGAACGCTGGAAGCCTCGAATTTCCAATGACTGCTGCTTTTCAAAATCACAGAACTGTTTGATTTTGAAGTAGATATCTCCGAACATAAAATCATCCATGTAGAAAGGCACAACTCCTTTTGTATCTTGCTCCTCAATGGGATGAATAGACAAGTGGAATTGCTTGAAGCTTGATGTCCACAATGACTGGTTGTTTTTCATAAGTTGAAGAAATTGGGAACTACTTAAGGATAAAGGAGGTTTGTTATTATTCCCAACTGTTTTGACTGGCAAACTGGAGATGCCCCAGCCATACTGATTTGGTTCCTTTGTCATGCTGCTCACAGCTCCTTGAGTATCCTTCATGCCTGGTAGGACAAGATGTTCAAGATTGGTCAATTTTGAGATCCCATATGGCAATCCACTAACAGTGGCCCCCAGCAGATGGAGCACTTCCAGTTGCAGGAACTCTTTTAAGCCTGGACAATCTCTAAGCAGAAGCTGACGGAGGTTGCTAAAGTTGTCAAGGGATGGCAGATCATCAACTGCAGTTTCAGACAGATCTAGGACTTCAAGCTTTGTCAACTCTTTCAAACCAGGCACAGTTGTCAAGTCTGGACAACCCCTTATATAAAGCTGATGGAGGTTTTTGAGGTTTGACATGGATGGTAACCGTTTTAGCAGGGTTTCAGAGAGATCAAGAATCTGGAGGTGATCCATTTTTTTCAAGAAATCAGCTCCAGTCTCTCTAAAACAGCTAATACCACGCAAATTTAGCTTCTCAAGTTTTGATAGAGAATCTAGTGGTGGAAGCTCACTCAAGCTGGTACATTTTTCCAGCAGGAGGTGGCGGAGGTTGATAAGATTTGAAAGTGATGGCAAGCGTTTGATCGTAGTCTCAGAAAGGTCAAGCTTCCAAAGCTGAGACATCTGCTCAAAGGATTTATCTTGTAGGACTGTCAAAGCTCTACAACCAGAAAGATCAAGCACCTCAAGTTTTGTAAGGGAATTCAAGTCAGGCAACTCCTCCAAGTTTGAGCAACATGACAATAATAGCTGACGCATGTTATGGAGATGGGAAAGAGATGGCAGAGTTTTGACCTGCGCTTTTGAAAAATCAAGTGTTTCAAGGTCTGTAAGTAATTCTATGCATTCGAGCTTACTTAGACTAGTGCAACCGTTTAAATACAAATGATGAGGATTGCTAACGTTAGAAGGTAGATGATCAACGGCAGTTCTCGATAGATCAAGAATCTTAAGGTCAGTCAGATTTGCTAGAGATTGATCATGGAACTCCTTAAAATTGCAGGCATCTGAGAGATCAAGAATTTGGAGAGTAGCTACCGAAGTAATGCTACGCAGTCTATCCACCTCTAAACACCCACTTAGCAAGAGATGAGTGAGCTTTTTCAGACTAAAAATCAATGGTAAGCTCTTAATATTTGTTTTGGAAAAATTAATCATTTGAAGTTCCTTATTAGATGAAAAGCTTTTGTCTTGTATACTACTCAAAGATGTAGAACCAGAAAGATCTATCACCATGAGATTTGTAAATTTTTTCACACTTCCCAGTTCTGTTAAGTGAGAACACTCTCTAAGGATGAGCCAGCTTAGTTCACTAAGTTCATAAAAAGATGAGGGTAATGACACAAAATCCAGCCTAGATAGATTGAGGCTCCTAAGATGGGGAATAGACTTAAAAAGATCATCTGGGATTTCCGTCAAGAAGCTAGGGCCAGATATCTCAAGAACAGTTAATTTTTCAAAATTTAGAGTGCGGTCTATCTTCTCCATGAAATGACAGCCTCTGAGGAGAAGCACACAAAGATTGTTCATCTCAGAAGGGAAAAGAGAAAAATTTTTGAATGTAGGGTCAAAAAGGGCAAGAACTCGGAGTTCCTGGTGGGACTCAGAGAAATTAGGAGGAAAGTGCCTGCTGAGAGAATTCCCATCAAGCAGTAAGGTAGAGGATTTCTGTCCTTGTTTGCCACTGTGAGGTGCTTTTATCACGCCATCCTTCTGTGTAATTCTTCCAAGGCCTTCCCACTTTCCATCCCCATGCACATTAGCTAATCCCAGACTGGCTGTGCCACTAAATCCACGACGGTAGCAATGATCTGAAGTTATCATTTCCCTTTCCTTGAGAATTTCATCCAAATTCAGCGTTGGCCCATCCATTACAACGTAATCAGCCTCCACTTTTCTCAGAATCTGACAATCCATAAGCTCCATCAAAACAACATGACCCTTCTCATAAGCCTTCTCCATACGATTGGTGTGACCAAGAAATCCTTCCATCACCCAGTACGCTATCAATTCATTATAATGGATGCGCCGACAATCATGGAAGAAGTGGCTACCTCCCCAAAAGCAGTCAATTAAAACACTGTTTGGCAGCAAGTCATATCCACTGCGCAGTAAATGTGTTATGTTGTAGATTTCATCATCCGGTACTTCCTCCAGGGAACGTTTCAGCATCTGCACCCCAGACCCTTGTTTAGAAACGTAACTGAAGGCTTTTGCCATCATGATAATTGCAGCAGGCATATTTTTAGTCTTTCCAAGAAAATCATTAGCTAAATCTTTAATCTCCGGAACTACAAAAGCACTGGTCCCAGCCCTTTCTTGCAATAAGGAAAATGACTCTTCCTCTGACAAGGGCTTTACCTCTATCACTGACTTCTCACCATCCTCAGAACTATCACTATTGAGGCTCTCTCTTTTAGTGATTAAAACTTTGTAATCTCGCTGGTCAAGATTCAGCAAGGTTCCCAAATCAAACATCATCTGTGGTTCATTTGTTTTTTCATCATCCAAAACCAGAAGCAGCTTCTTTCCGGAAAGAGCATCAGATATCCGCTGTTTCAAGTCTCCCTGGTTCTCCTCCTTCTCCGACTCCTTATCATCATTGTCAGCTTCTGACTCCCCAGTGGTGGAAAGTAGGGATAACTGACAAGCTATACTGTCACGAAGAGTGTCCTTGTCATATTCTGTATTCAGAAATACCCAGAGAGCAACGTCAATTAAGCCCTTCTTTTTTGCAAGATTACTTATCTCTCTGGCTGTCCATGTCTTTCCAACTGCAGCCTTCCCGTAAAGAACAATTCTTTTGACTTTGTCATTACTCAGCAGTTCAAATAAATTTTTTTTCCTCTGTGCCACTGTACTCACAGCCATTGTTGATGAAACAAATCCCACTGCATAATTTTGATTAAAAATTAATCATGTAATTTCAATAAAATGGAGACAAAGGAAGGGGAATTTATTAGAAAATTCTCTTTCAAGTACTTGTATCTCAATTAGTCCATATCATATTCTTGTATTCTAATAAGTTCTATTATTTGGACATTTGATCCACAGAATCCTAATTCTCATATTTATGACATCTAATTATAAATGATGAACTTTGTCCCATGGTTCACAGCTCATATTATCCAAGATCGTGACACATATACAATATGATTTTTATATATTTTATGCTCTTCAAGAATAGAATTTTATCAACACAACAAAATAGAAGTGAAGAACTTTGTTTCACGGCTTACAGCCTAAAATTATCCAATATCCACTGTAATATATGTATGTATATATAACCTTCTATACATACACATTTTTTTGGGGTGTACATAATATGATTATCACTCTATACGAGTAGAATTGCTTGAAACATAAAAAATATACAAAAGAATACCAAGCACACCCAATAGAGAACATCCTTCGAGAAAACTAGAAAACAATAAGTTCAAAATTATATGAACACCACTTATCATTATAGAACTTTAATACAAAGAGCAAAACAACCTCAACCAGGAAGACCAAATTATGGAATTAACTCTGCCAATGCAATAAAGTAGTAATGATGCATTACACTTTGAAGTAGCAACACCAAGTGACCTTAAGTGGATAGACTAAAATGCAATGACCAGTGTTATTTAAGGGAAGAGGCACACTGACGTGACGATGTCTGTTGGGGCCTAGGCGCAAGGCGAGATGCGGGCTTCATCAAAGCAATGCGCATGTTATAGACATTAAGATTAAGATTTTTTTTCAGTATAAGAAATTTATTGCGTCTTTTATCTACCATATGCTAACCAATGAAACATATTGTACTTTTACATGAGATTATTACCACCAAGTACACTACATTATGCTTAAAAGCTTTGCACCACATCAACAATTTCAAATAAAGTACATTTAAATTAAATAATCAAAAATAATAATAATAATAAACAAATTAAGTAAATAAAATAATCAATTAAGAAAATTAAGTCATTAACTATAAACACTTAGAAAACAAAGTATAATTAAATAATCAAAAGCAATTAAGCAATAACAAAAAAATTAAACAAATTAAGCAAATAAAATAATCAATTAAGAAAATTAAGTCTTTTTTTTTTTTTTAATCGGCAAGAAAATTAAGTCCTTCACTATAAACACTTAGATAACAAAGTTTTGTTTGGCCACTGCCATTGTCACTATTTAGAGGGGGAAAAGTAAAACAAAAAATGGTATGTAAGCCAAAATATAGAAGTTCAAGTATTTACCTTAATTTGTTGTTTAGGGTCAAGGCTATCTATTTATTAGGGGGGCTTTGACACAATGTGAATAACTTAAAAATTATAAAGGATTTCATTAGATCAAAAGGTTGATATCACATCTTTAATAAATTAGGTAAAATTGAAAAAGGTGCACGCCTCTTTGCGCCTCGCACACCTTGAGCACCTTGACTGCGCTTCATTAAAGTCATGTCGCTTCATGGGTATTAAGGCACCTAACACTAGCAATGACAACTACCATGCCTACATCTATCAAGCACGGATACAGGTACGATATTGGTATGGGTACGCTGACACAAAAAAAATTAAATTAAATTAAAATATGTAAAATACAAGTATGGCCAAGGTACATCCATAAAAAATAGGGTACAATTACAGTTACCTCCCTTGAGGTTTTGCATAATTGCAGGGATCTACCCTATGATTTCTAAAATTACACAAACCTCCCTTACCTTTTCTGACATTTCAAGATCCCCCCCCCTCCCCTCCTCTCCTAGTTAATTTAGCCCAAACGGTGTTAACTTGGTTGTGCAAATGACCATAATACCCTTTAAATACTATTCATAACCTCAAGGGAACTAAGTGTAATTTACCCTAATATATATATATATATGAAATTATCATTTTATTTCTCACAACTTTTTCAAAACATAAATGTAATTTCTTGGCTCTCGTATTTTTTTTCCTGCTATAACTTTTTGAACTTTTATAACTTAAAAAATAAAATTCAACCAATAATGAAGGTAAGAAAGAATATCCATGTTTCTATCTAGTTTGAATTAATTTTAAAATTTAATTTAATAAAAAGTCTAAATGATAGAAACAAAGATTGAGATATAGATTTTAGATGTAATAGATGACAAATTATTTGAGTATTTTATAATTTTTAAATAATTTCTTTCTCAAGTAAAATTCAATTTTAATTTTAAGTATAAGAAATGACAAATTGTTTAAATAGTTTATTATTCTCAAAAAAAATTCTTCATATTTCATTCCCTATCAACTAATTTTAATTTATTGCACTAGGATTAGATTTTTTTTCACTTTTATATTTATTTTTAAACATTTTGTTAATAAGGTGAGAAATATTGACCTTTTTTTTAATATCCATCGACTAGAAATTGAAAGACTGAAAGAAAAAAAATTAAAATTCCATTGACTGGAAATTGAAAGACGCACAGAAAAAAATTAAAATTTGAGAATAATATAGGATTGTGAAAAAATAAAAAAGATAATTTTTTATATTTCTATATATATTTAAAGAAGCAACACATGATATTTATAAGGTAGCATTTGGTAATATTTATAAGTCAATTTTTTTTTTTAATATGAAATGTTATTATGTTTATATTTCTTTAAAAAAAATGTTTAATACACATATGTTTACAAACAAAAGAAAATTCATGTTTCGTAAGTTGCTATGGTATTAGGTGATGCTGGCTAGCAGTGAAGAAAAGAAAAAATGACGAAAAAATGGAGGAAAGAGCACGAGGGAAGAGAACAAATAATAATAATAAAAAATTATGTGGCGTTGATTTTGGTTGCAATGGCACCATGAAAAAATGAATGAGAGAATAATAAATAAAAAAATGAAAGAAATAAAATAAAGAAAATGGAAAGAGATGGAGATAGTGAAAACTGATTTTTTTTTTTTTTTTTTTTGTAGAAATAGAAAGTGGGTCATGATCTTAGTAGCAGGAATCGTCGAAATGGGAGACGATTCTCGTCTAGAATCGCGATTCAGCGATTCGTAGCAAGATTCGTGATACAATCGCGTCTCCGTCAAGATAGAATCGCGGATCTAACTAGATGGGAGCGATGGCGACACAGAAGGGGGGAGGGAGAGAGAGAGAGAGAGAGAGAAACCAGGCTGCGAAGAAGCAGCTACTACTGCTAGGGTTATGCTGCGAAGAAGAAACATACCAGGCTGCGAAGAAGCATGTGAAGAAGAAGCAACAGCTGCTAGGGTTGGGAATTATAAACATAAGAGTTGGGCTTGGGACTTTTATTAGGCTTGGGATTTTTTTTTAGACTCATACAAACATGTGTATGGGCTTGTAAGCTATAAACATAAAAGTTGGGCTTGGGAATTTTTATTGGGCTTGGGATTGTTTTTGGACCCATATAAACATTTGTTTAGGCTTGTGACCTGTTTTATTTATTGTTTGGGTTACTAGATGATTTGTTTGCATCATAAATAGGAGAGTTGGGCTTGGGATTGTTTTTCTTCTCCTCTCCCTCTCTTCTTTTATTTTATTTTTGTAAGAAAATAAATAAAACAAATAATTTTTAACAAAAACATTTTAAAATAAATAGATAAAAAAATAATACAAATATTTTAGAATAAATGAAAAAAATCTAATAAAAGTATATAATTACAATATTTTATCATATGATTTTTTATAGTACTTTTTTTTTAAAAAAAATTATAACATATATTTTCATTATCATTAGAGGAAAAAAATATATAATCTTACAATATATTTTTATATATTATATTATTTAATATATATATATATATACAAACGCTCCCTACCAACGCTTCTTGAAATGTCTACGATTCTCCGATTCCGACCCCGCTCCCGCTCCTGCTCCCGCTTCATGCAACTAAGGTCATGATGGAAGAAGAAGGCAAAAAATTAAGAAAATGATAAATAAAAAAATTTGAGAAAATAAAAGAAAATGAACTAGAAACAATATAGAGATAAAGTTAACACAAAGTTGATATCGTGTTAGTAGATGAAATTAGAGAATGAGTTCACACAAAGTTTAAGATTTGAAGAGAAGCACTTGAATCTAAAGGATTTCGGATAAGCAAAACTAAAACAAAATACATGGAGTGTAAATTTAGTAGCAGTAATAATAACAATGAATTCAGAGAAGAAGTGAAAATTGAGAATCAAGAAATACCTAAGAGTGAACATTTTTATTATTTAGGGTCGATTATCACAACAGCAGGAGAAATTGATACGGATATGGTCCATAGAATTAAGACGAAGTGGCTTAAGTGGAGAAGTGTGTCTAGGGTACTGTGCGATAAACGAGTATCCAATAAACTAAAAAGAAAGTTTTATAGAACGGCTATTAGACCAGCGATGTTGTATGAGACGGAGTGTTGGGCAACTAATAAACAACATATAGATAAGATGAGTTTTGCTGAGATGAGGATGCTAAAGTTGATGTGTGACAAGACTAGAAAAGACAGAATTAGTAATGAGTATATTTGGAAATGGGTAAGAGTAGCACCGATAGCAGATAAGTTGAGAGAGAATAGATTGAAATGGTTTGGTCATATTCAACGAAAACCAACAGAGGCAGTAGTGAAGAGATACAGTGACGGTAGATGAAGTGTTAGGGAACGGGATAGACCTAGATTGACATTGGCTAGCGTAGTAAATAAAAATATGAATCTACTTAATTTGACTAGAGAAATGGCCTTTGATAGAGCCGCGTGGAGAAGAAAGATTCATATAACCGACCCCATTTGATGGGACTTAAGGCTTAGTTTGATTTGGTTATAGAGATAAAGTTAGTTTGCGAGAGGAACAATATAATATGGGTTGTTCAAAATGTTAGACATTCTAACAGATAGATAACAGAAGGGAGGCAGGTGTAATTATTGAAACTACAAGGGGTATCTTGACAATAATTTCAAAAGTAATGGAAGTCACTATAATTATTGAAACTACAAGGTGTATCTACAATTATGAAAAACTTCAAGGGAGACAAGAGTTATTACCCTAAAAAATATATTTTTTATAATTTGTAATAATGCATGATATATAACAATTAGAAATGAAATACAAAAATTAGTTAAAGCAAGGTACAAACTAGCATTTTGTGCCGATAGAGATTACTGAGAGAATGAGACAAAAGCTCAACTAATAGAGAGGGGGATGATTACTCAATCAATAAAGACTATAGAAAATCCCAAAGTATTCTCTTAAATTTGTAATATTAAAATACCCTTTATTTTTAGAGTTTTTTAAAATAGATACAATGTGTTGATTACAGTTTCTCATTAATATTTAAAAAATTATATTTATGCCTCAACATAACCACAAAAGTACCCGATGTGTATCCATGTCGCCATACTAATACACATACCCATTCTAGATACACACCCGATACGCATACGACATAATTTTTGCAGTACCCATGCTTCATAGGTCTACATCTTCGAATAAAATCCACCGTTCTTAAATCAATAGTAATGCATTTGGAATGGAGCCAGCATTTGATACCATTCTAGGTAGTGCGGAAGAGTTGTGATATTGTCATTACAAAATGTGTTCAAATTTAGCTTGGTTTGTTGGAGTTCTTGAAGTTCAGTTTACATATTTTATTCATTCATCATATAACAAGGAATCTAAATGGACAGAATTTCGATAGGATAAATGATCATTAGAACCCAAGAAGACAAGAAAAATCTGATCAAATCCTCTTTGATACAATGACAAGTATAATATTCATATGAATCCAAATCTATGACCAGTTGGATCAGAGTAGCCACCAAAGTAACATAATCAACATAAGAGATACCACTAATCAAATATTGGGCAAAAATTAAAATTCACAAACTTTTGACATGATTTTACTCAACCAATACGCTTATTATCAAGCTAAGACCATTATAGCAGAAATAACAACATACACTGCTATCTTAGCATATTACATTTACTAATTACTATCCATACATATGTACAAATATACATAGTACAACTATTATGGATAATAATCTTTCCATTCCTAGTTGATCTCCCTGTCCTAAACCAAATGCAATTCATTAGTTCATGAATCAACCATATTCACCTTTTGACATTCAAAAAATGGTATTCCCCGCAACAACTGATTATTTGTCTATAGCTTTTGTGCCCATTTTACCTGGAACCTAGGTTTTAAGTAACGATTGCGGTTGCTGTAATGATAACGGTGACAACAATGCAGTTGCAAGGTGTAACAGTGGGAACAATCGGAGCCATGATTTCTTTTTTTCTTTCACACAATTTTGAAAATCTTACTGATACACATGTTTCTTTTTAGTGGTTTTTTTGGGTTTTGTTTTGTTTTTTAACTTGATCTAATATATGTACTAAATTTTACACTCGATTTAAATCGCTATGGAGATTTTTCCTTTTGTTGGTTGTATCTAATTTTCTTTGTTTTATTGATTGTATTTATAGATAACTTCTCCTTGTCATGCAAAATAAATAAATATATATATATATGAATCAAGTTTACTGTTAATATTCCTAGGGTCATACACAAAAATTCAGAGTGCAATATGGCAACATACTAATGTAAAAGTACATAACATGATATCCAAGCTTTATTCAATAAATCTAACCTAAAATCGAATAGATTTAAGTTAATAATTAAGCCACCAACCAAAAAAAAATTAGAAAAAAGGGGAAAAAAAAAAAAAAAAGCAGGAGAACTAGTCTCATGTAACCTTGATAACAACTCAAATCTTGTAGAACATGAAGATTGACTATTGAAATGATGTAGATCTAAGATTTTTGTAACAGTTCTATGTTTTTCATGTGATGTTATGTTAGCAACTGAAAAAAAGAAAATGAGAAAAAATCTTAAATGCATAATCTTCTAAAAACAGAAGTGCAAGCATTGTAGCGGTGTGTCATAACAGCCATTACAGACATCACATAAGGTTGTGGTTGTGGCCCATTTTTAAAACCATGCTTGGAACATACAAAATTACAAGGGGTGTGAGTCAGTCAATTGAAAGCACTCCTAAAAAAACTCAGAAATCGATTTCAAATATTTTAATGTTGTGTTTGCATCTTGCATTTGTGAAAGAGATTTGTGGATGGAAAAGAAAACATAAGCAAAAAGTCAACAAAATTAGCTTCTTCTACTAACCCTCCACAAATCCAAGATCCAAACCAGCCCAAAAGATTCCTGAAGCTGAAAATATACTTCGAGAACTTTTTTTCAGTTCTAAAAACAAAAACAAAAAAATCATAAATCGATTTCTAATATTTTAATGCTGTGTTTAATAATTTAATATGTGCTGGGATTTTTGGATTTGTGAAACGATTCACAGAGGAAAACAGAGGGAAAAAAGTGAAGTGAACAAAACTTGGCTTCTACTTCATTCATTTTTAAGTCTACTTTACAAATCCCTATACAAATTCAAGATCGAAACAATCTAAAAGAATCATGAAGCTGAAGGTCTGGCTCTAAGAACATTCCAACTCACAATCGAATCAGATCAAATTGCTTACTGTACAAGGATTATAAGCAAAATTAGGGATTTGAGATGATCGTATAATTGAATTTTCATTTTGATAACACGTGAATCATGAATCTAGCAATCACACATTTGAAAAAGGCCAAAATTTATATACATATGTAGAGAGAGAGAGAGAACCTGGACAGCTAAGAGCAACTCCTCTAGCAAAGACAGAAACTTTGTGATGGGGAATTGGAAGATAGAGCCAAATTAACCTAGACTATTGTAACCTAGGGGTTGTTGCAGAACCGGCCTGGGCTAAGGCCATTGAGAGGCCTGTGCTTTACGCCTAAAAAATTGGCCCAAAATAGGGGTTCAAATTTAGAAAAGTATTATAGTATATTACAAATATAAATAGGTTTAAATTATTTTTGTTGTTTTAGGGCCAATTTAGAGAACCTAAAAATATTCTGTTGGCTCATATTTGTTTATAAGTGTGATTTGGCCTAATTGAAATTAAAATATATACACAATATTGGTGACTCTTGAATGAGAAACACTACATATACATACAAAATGTTGGTGGCCCAAAAAGGGCCCCCTAATTTTTTTTTACCTTCTTTCTTTATCAGATTTTAATGGAATAAATAAATTTGTCCTAATCTTTTTTACCTTCTTTGTTTATCAAATTTTAGTGGAATAAACAATTAATTCAATCTCAATCACACTCATACATAGGGGTGCGCCCAGTGCGAGTCGATGCGGTTTAGATATAAAATAGAAATCACACAGTGGGTGGCGGATTGACAAACTTGACATTAGAAATTGCTATTTTATTTATCAAAAACCGATAGTTCGGTTGACAAATAATAGCGGTTTTAACTTGGTGGTTTGGGCGGATTGGTTGTTTATTTTAAATATATATAATTTAAATTACAAAACCTGAATCAAAGATTTAAAATAAAATATAAAAAAAAAAAACTAATTTATAAATTAACTAAAATAATCAAAATTAAAATAGATGTCCATTCATCTAACACATTGACAAACTAATAAACTAAAAACCAACAATCCAAACAAATTATACAATAACAATCTAGTGGAATCCCAATCTTTGATTCTTCTATTCAAAAATGCAATAGCACCATTATTAGAGCTTGCATGTGCATATATAACATGCTTTTGTTTTCTATGTATATCAATGTCAATCTTTGCGGCTCCTTTTGTTTTCAATATACTTGCCTAATCATGTAATTTTGAGGCAAAATTGCTCTGTTTAGACTATTATATTTTTCAGTAATATTACAAATTTTAAAAATAAAAAAAAAATAAAAAAACATTACTTCGAAAATATTCAAATAAATAATTCATAAATCACAATAATTCTAAATAAGGTTCGCATCATACTAATTTTAAATGTATATTATATAATTCATTTCGAGATAAATTTCAGATTTTTTTTTTTTTTTTTTTTTTGTGGTTCATAACATTTGTTTGGTGTTTTAGTGGGTGCCACAGTTGGGTCCCCAAAGTGAAATCATCTCACCTGATGTTCTAGAATGATTACGAATTATTTGATTCAACACACAAAACAGAGAGGAAAAATAAGCAGAGCATTCTTTTCTTCAGAAAAATAGAGAGGAAAAAAAACTCAGATTTGAAAAAAAAAAAATGCAGCAAAAGAAGAAATGCAGAAACTTTCAAAACTCAGATCTGAATAAGATTGAAAACCCATTACAAACCATGTGTCCAATACAAGGGAAAAAATATATATCTTCTCTTTCCAGTCCTAGAAAACACAGAAACACCAAATCAAGAAGCACAAGGTCCAAATCTAAAGACCCATTTCGTCAAAAAACAATACAAAGAAACCCAAAACAGAGAATAAGAGAAAGAGACAGCAGAAAAAGAGCAAAGAGAAAGCACGTACCAAATCGGCGAGCGGAGAAGATGCGACCGGCAAGGCTACTAGTGGCGGCGGCGACCGGCAAGGCTAATAGAGGCGGCGGCGATGGCTACCGGCGTGGTGGAGGAGCAAGAGGTGAGACAAATGTTGTTCACCAATCTGTGAATACGATGAGATGTTAGGGTTTAATTTGAGAATTGATTGTGTGTGTGTAAGTAAATGTGGTTGGAAGCTGTGCTGTGTTTCTCAGCATTGGCATATCTATACTATATCTATAACCAAATGTAGTTGTTAGGTCAAAAGACTCCAAAATTTGAATCCTAAATCCTCATAATTTTGGAAAAATAAAATAAATAGGTGGCACATCTCTTTACCTCTCTTCTTATTATTCAAGTATTCTCACTTCCTCTCCCAATTGTGTTATCTAAAAAAATATTTAAAAAAATCAAATAATATCTTTCATTGGAGTTGTGGATATATATATGTATATAGAACCCCACATATTTATCACCGTATCAGACGATGATGGAGGGCATGCGTAGGCCGTCCGCATCGATGATCTGACTTCACCATCGGCAGGAGGAGACGGTGGGCCCATGACGAAGATGGTGGCGTGGGTTGAGACGGTGATGAAGGAGCTAAAGAGAGTAAGAGGTTTTAGAGAGAGAGAAAAGGAAGAGAGATGGTTTTCAATGTTTCATCATTTGATTGAAATGTTGTGTCATTTTTATTTATTTTTTTCCATTACGTTGTGTTTTTAAGATTTCGGTTTCGATTTGTGTTTGTAATATTTATTTTTCTAAACCTTTTCTAAGATTTCTATTTGGGTTTGTGTTGGGTTTGTGAGATTAGGTATACATTCAATAGAACCAAAGCATTGAAAATCATTCAAATTGTTGGAAATAAAAGCGAAAGAGACACGGCAATTTGGATGTGTGTTTTTAAGATTTGGATTTGTATTTATTTTTTTAAACCTTAAACCGATATGTTTGTGTTGAATTTGTGTTTCCAAATATTTCAATATTTTCTTCTTCTTTTTTTCTTCAACCTCCATGTCCCACAGGGTATTATTTATTTGAGAATTCGTTATGTATTTTGGCATGATGTTCTTCGTTGGATTTTTTTGGTGATTGATTGATGATGTGAGCGGGCTGTATTGTGGGGATTGGGTTTTCCCAATTAATTCACAAATTTTCCAAATTTTGGGAGTATTTGGAGGTAAAGGATAATTATTGTGTAATTTTGGAATTTGCTTAATTTGAATATTGGATGGGTGGAGATCTGTGTGGTTTCAAGAGTTTTTACTTGAAAGAATCTGGGTTTTGCAATTTTTATTGTTGTTGTTATCAAAATTGATGATGAGTAATAGTTGATCTTTATAAAACGGGTTTGGATTTAATTTTTTAAAAAGTTTTAGGTCCTATATAATAGTTGATCTTTATAAAATGGGTTTTGATTTTAGAAATATATTTTTAATTTCAGTTTGATTTATGAAATAGATTTAATTTCTTAATGGAAAATGAGTGTTGATTTTTTATGATTTTGAAAAAAGCTTTTGAAATGGGTGTTGATTTTATTTGATTTAACAAAATCAAATCACAAATTTAAGATAAAATAGGGTGAAAAAAAAAGTAGAGAGAGGAAAATCGAACAAAGGAAATAAATGGTTTGTTATTTGAGCTCTCAGAGTAAATGTAGTATTTGTTAAGAGATGAGAGAGGATGAGAGGAGGAAATGAGAGAGAGATTGGAGAGAGAGAGAGAGAGAGAATGAGTATTTTAAATACTGTACTTTTAAATGGTGAAATTCTATAAAATGTTTAATAAAAATTTCAAATACAAATTAATATTTTAACTTAAACTTTTATTAATGAATTTGATAAATTATATTTTAACTTAAATGAACCGCCATTGTAGATATCTTGAACTGATTTATTATAATTGATTTTTATAATGGTGAAATTATTATCATTTTGAATTGATTTTTTTGTAAATGATGTAATACCAATATTAATAATTTATGTTAATTGATTTTTGTAAAATATGTGTACCGTGCCTTCAGGCACGGGCATACGCTAGTATATATACATAGGAAAACATTATGGTACACATCTCTTAAAATGTATGTACCATATACATCTCGTAACTAAAAAAAATGATATAATTTAATACGTTTTGAGTTATAATTAAAAAAGTAAAATATCATAACTAATTATAACATGAGGTATGACTAAAAATCTCATGAATCATAACTAAAATAATAAAAAAAATTAATTATAATTAAATAAGAAAAAGATATAATCAAAAATGCATATGGTGCATCTCCTTTAAGAATGTACATATTAAAATTACTCATATATACATATATATCTTCTGTAAATGTATAGAAAAAGTTTTCTCGTACAGATGCACCACAAAAAAATATTCTGGCTAAAGGTCTCTATAATAAATGTTGTGAATAAACTCCAAAAAAATTATTTTAAAAGTAGAAAAATAAAATTTGCATAAAAATAAATGCAAAAAAGTTAGTTAAAAATAAAAAAGCCTCGTATTGAGTTTGTCCTTTAGGCCTTGTTGAGGGTTGGGCCGGCATGGATCAACGGTCCGCTAATTGGGCCATTATCAAATTCTATTTTGTAGGTTGTCATGCCTTTACCTTAGTTTGGGAAGTTAGTCAGTTGTTTGATTTTTTTTGGCTATTTTAATTTAGGATTAAGAAGTCTTGTTTAGTTAAGATCTTTTGACTTTTTTTAACTTTTTGTAAGAAAAAGAATGTAATAATTATATGTTGAATGTGATGTTTTGTCTTATTGGACTAAAAGACCTATTTTGGGCTATTTTGAGAAGTGGGTTAAAAGCCACTCCCTAGCTTTTAACCCACTTCCCTCTCTCACAAAAAAGTTAAAGAGCAGCTTTTAACCATCTTTTCAAAATACTCCTTTATCCTTTTGTGGCTAAAATAGTCCCAAACCCAACCCAATCCAACCATTCTTTCCAAACGAAGCCTTAAAAATTTTATGACTGCGACACTCGATTCTTTCACGATTTTTTTTTTTTATAAAATATTTTACATAAATAATTTAAGGATAATTTTTTTTTCATTATCATTTATATGAAATAGTTTTCATAATACCTAACATTGTTTATGTAGTGAATAAATAATTAAATAACTCATAATTATCTTATTTAAATTGCAACAAACAACACTAGTACTCAAAATGGTAGATTTAAGGTCTTTATTAAATGATTTTTTTAAGGAAAAAATACACTGATGATCTTTACATTTTATCTCTTGTATCATTTTAGTCCCTACACTTTTAATTTGCTTAATTTGGCACTTTTGGTTGTCTTAACTAACTCTTATTATCTATTTGTTATGCGATGATTTAAGATGAAAAATGTCAAAAATAATAAATAAACAACAAGATAAGTGTTCGCATTTATTAGATAAATGTTTGCTAATAAAATAATTGATTTGTATTTTTTTTTTTAAATGTGATGTTAAAATTTTAAAATTAAATTTTCTATGATATCTTTAGCTCCTTATCTTTATCAAAAAAATTAAATTTGAATTTAAACACTAAACCTCCAAAACACATTATCTTTAAATTAAGTTTCCATATAAATTTGAACAACCATCAATAAAATCAACATTGGAAACAAACCATCAACAGCATCCTCCTTTTTCTTTCTTTTTTTTTCCTCCTCCTCCTCTTAACGCAGTGGTGGTCATAAAAATTTCTTTAAGGTATTAATATTTTATATCTCCTAACTCCAATAATTTATTTATTTTTCCTCTCTAGGGAAGATTATAATATACATAGAGCTTTACAAGCAATATCTCGAGGTTAATCATTTTTTTAATTGAAATCTATTTGAAGTCATAAAATTTCATGTAATTTTTTTTTCATCTTTATTCTATTGTATTATTTAATGATAGATCTTTTCAAGCAACATGTTCAAATTCATATAAATTTACATAGGGTCTATATATGGTTTTACATAAAATCTACTTAGGTCTATCAACTTTTTCATGCAATTGCTCTAGATTTATAGATCTTCGAATGCATTTTGTGATAGTACTTGAAAAGATTTTTTATTGAATAATTCGTGCATATTACAATTATCAATCACTTCATTTTAACTCACCATAATAAATATATATATGTATATATTATGCATGTTTCTTAAATATATCATTTGTCCTATAATATTTGGTATAACTACTACTATACATTTTTAGTCTCTATTGATCTAATTATTAGTTATATATGATATCTTAAAAATTCATTTCAATAATTGATTGCAATTATTAAATTGATATATGTTATATATGATATGTTTTTTAATTTTTCATGTTGTGAAGTATTAAAAATTTTGAATGATGTATAATAAGATTTATATACACAAATTAAATAAAAATATTTTATTTACATTAGAAAATACAACTAAATAGCATAAATTTTTTTTAAAAATTTATTATGTTCACTTTGTAAAATCCCGTGCATCGCACGGGTGACTACTAGTATATATATACAAAAATGTTAGAGGCCACAAAAATTCTACTAAAAGTTTTGTCAAATGTCTCACATGGGTGTGAGACCTACATGGGACCCACATTGTTTGGGTCCCACACCCATGTGAGACATTTGGTAAAATTTTTGGTAAAATATTTGAGGTCTCTAGCAGTACTCATATATATATATATATATATATATATAGTAGTCTATCATCCGTATGCACTGTGATATCATTCTTCTGTGGACCCCGATGCAGCTGTTTGAAGGAGTATGCACGAAACTCATCCTGGGGGACGTGTATAACATCCTAGACTCTAAACAAGACCGCCGTTGGTTTTCTGGTCAGGTTTGAACTATGGGAGCTGATTGGTGATGTCTTGGGGTATCCGTGCTTATTGTGCTATTCGCGATGCCTTAAACGCAGCAACCGTTCTCGAGGGTGCGAATTGAGCAGCATTGTGGCATCCAGTGTTTCCTTGCTAACTTGGTGTTTCCCTCTCGCTTTGTGGACTTGGTGAGCATTTCTACACCGTGGGCACACTGTGGCGCGAGTAAGCTACATATGTGGACGGGTTGCTTCCTAACCAGCAGGGTCGGCATGATTGTGTTACTTTGTTGGCTACATGGAGATCTCTACTAAAGTTTGAACTTGTGGAATGCTAGTATCAGATTGCGGGCATGTGATCTTCAGTTATTGAGCCTTAGAGACGGATTTTCGTTGGCAGTCGTGCACGTGCTATGGCATTATCACTGGTTTGCTTCAGGGGGCCTATGTTTCGACCGTTCGTGGTGGCATTTACAACTTGTGCTTGTCAGTGGTTTTGCATCTTCAGACGCACGATTGTTGACTTCTTAGAGGGTTCGTTCGGAAAAATATTCAAGACAAACAGAGGGCTTCAGAGTTTCAGTTTGCTAGAGAGCAACAGCCAGAGGGCTTCAGAGTTTCAGTTTGCTAGAGAGCAACAGCCAGAGGGCTTCAGAGTTTCAGTTTGCTAGAGAGCAACAGCCAGAGGGCTTCAGAGTTTCAGTTTGCTAGAGAGCAACAGCCAGAGGGCTTCAGAGTTTCAGTTTGCTAGAGAGCAACAGCCAGAGGGCTTCAGAGTTTCAGTTTGCTAGAGAGCAACAGCCAGAGGGCTTCAGAGTTTCAG